CAGAGCTGTTCTGCGCCGAGGATTCAAGCAACATTGGAAATTGTCACTTTATTCGAAGAAGGATCTTACAGAAGGCTAGTGTCCGACTATCTTTTAGCTCTCTTCGCCTCTTCGCTATACAATTGTCTCGAACGAGGAGCGAATGGCAGGAAAGCTCGTAGAGCGAGTACGCCATGAAGGGTTGCGAGAAAACGCCGCCGGGGGGTGGATGAAGCGAGCATGGTGGGAACGTAACGACTGCATTCAGCACGAGTACTTCGCAATGGTTCGCATTTTGCAACGACTTAACGAAACTTATATTGATATTTGAACGTCGAAACGTGTCGGATGGTATTTTGCAAATTGAATCTAAAGAGAAAGCCATGTACAAGCGTCATGCCCGATGGGGAGTAACGTAAAAATTTATCAATTTTATTGAGAATGATAGCATTACGATGCGTAATGGAATACGTAATAAAAAAATTATTTCCTTTTTGATTTAATAAAATTTATTATAGAAAATGTAAATATTTTTTATCAAAATGTTGAAAGCACATCATTTATTTTTTAAATCGATTATTTAAGCTAATTCAAGAATTAGAAAAATTTAATTTTTAGGCGTTCTAACTTTTCTTCAATACGTATAAATATTTAACAATGATATATGAGTTATTAGATATATGAGGGCTCTAAATAAATGTAAATCTAAACACGAATAAAATAATATAAGTTTTCATCAAACGTAATTTATAAAATATAAAAACACATATACAAATTGAGATATTATCCTTGTTTAAATTAATATTATTGAAAAACAATCAAAACTATTAATATTGTTCAATCTGATCAGCAATATTATACATATATTTAGTCATTACCATTTTAATATCATATTAAATTACTAAATAATTATTTTGTTATAATATTATTTTTCTATTGACATATGATTACTATACAAGTAAGTAAAATATATAGCGTATATAATATATGCGTCTTTCTCGCATTGTGTGAAATATAATAAAACTTAAATTATGCTTATTTATATAGTTCTCTTTCTTCAAATAGTATATTTTCTTGATTTAATATCTAGAAGAATTTCTGCAATTGTCATTAATATGTAGATTTATACAGAACTGTTGAAAAGAAAAGAGTCAGAATTATGAGAATAAAAAGATTGTATTTACAGAATTACACAGATACAGATTGTACAACAGAATTATTTTTAATATAAGCCAGAAATATTTCTTTTAAATTTAATGAAATACTAAAACAAATCTTTACAAAAAATAAAATGTAAATATGTAAATTAATCTTAACAAAAAATTTTACTTTGAAACACTACGATCAATCATTATAATAAAAAGCCATCCGCGGTTTTTTCTTATTTTCACGCCAACGCGCAATCACGTAAGCTAATTACCTATTATTTACTAGTTAAACAAAAAACTTTCTAAGGACGTTACTAATTTTTGCCGCCACTGAGAAATATGTGAACAATTGCTAGATCATTTTGCATATTTATCATTTATCCTTCACTATGATGAAAGTAATTTATATCCCCTTGGTATGAGATAATAACATCATTTGTCAGAGATAGAGTCAAGTAATTGTTAGGCAAATCAACACATGCACCCCTGGAATGACAACGTGTTATTTTTCAATATCACATATTGAATAATAATCTTTGAATTGCAACACATGTTGTAACTAACCTTGAGATTACAATTATTTATCATACCATTTCTAATACTTATATCTTATCTTCTGTTTATATATATTCTTTTCAATTTTTAATTTAAA